ATAACGAATCATAAAAATAAAAACAAATGCATGTGGCGTGTCGTAAATACCGAGTTAGGTAGAAAGGTAAGAGACCGCGTAGATTTTACTGAAACCATTGAAAATAAAGACGGAACAAAGTTCGCCAATAAAATATTACTAACAAATTCATTAAACAAGGAATTTGTCACCGCCGGCATTGTGTGCGGAGCGCCCGCCGCAAGCATCCCATGCAGCGTCGCCGCGCTCGCCGCCGTCCGCCCCGCCAGCGACGACTGACGAGTGTGTTATGGTTCGCGCGGTTCTCGCCTGACGAGGTAGAAAAAATACTCCACAAGCAGATCGCACCCAAAACCAGCACCGACATTTACGACTTGTCTGCGGACGTCATTAGGCAAGTGGGTGCCACAATCAGTGTAGTATTTATTGGCTTACCTTTTCAACGAGTGCATACGAAGCGGCTGCTTCCCTGATGCCCTAAAGAAAGTTAAGATCGCGCCTCTTTATAAGGGCAAGGGTAGGAAGTCTGATATCAGCTCCTATCGCCCTATCTCGATGGTGCCAGGAATAAGTACATACGGTATAAGTACGATTTCAGTGAATAGGCATTATCTGGGTGAGCATGTTCCATCATCGTCTGCATCGTCACTTAACATCAGGTGAGATTGCGGACAAATGCTTACCCATTGTTTATAATAAAAAAAAAAAAACTTTTTATTTCATAGATTTCATATTTTGTTTAACTATGAAAATAAAGTGTCTCGGTTTTTTTGATGAGGAGTATATTATCTATCAGGGTGTTTTCCTCTTGTGAAACTAAACAACTTCCCCAAGGATCCATAGGTCGAAATATGACAAATAAACATAATTTGATGGCTTACACTTACCCTATCTTTCGGTATGTAATAACGAGGTTTAGCATCATCTTCCTGCGGTGTTTCTATCGTGGTATCTTGATAGTACACCATCTGAAAACCATACAAAGTGATTTTAAAAAGTTATATCATCCCTGATAAATGGTTCAAAGAAATTGTCGGCGGTCGCTGTTCAATTTTTGAATTTTCAATTTATGAGAATAATATAGCACTGTGAGTGCATTAAAAACCCCAATACAATGTAAACAATGTCTTACCTCCTGCTTAATATGTGTATCTTGTTCAGTCTCGATGAGGTCTCGTCGTTTCCTCCTCTTGATGATCACCGGCCTTCGCTGTTGAGCAGAAAAACCGGCCAAGTTCCTTCCCCTGACTTCAACGAGCTGGGGCTGGAACAAGCAGTTGTATTAAATAAGTGCCGTGTGATGACGGCTTAGAATGTCATCACCCCATATCATTCCCGTGGGTGTCGTAAGAGGCGACTTGGGGATAAATTCATTTCGCAATCGCATTGCAACATCTTGTATTGCGCTCACCAACCCGCCTGCCAAGCGTGGTGAGTATGGCAAATACCCCTATACTAGGTTCGAGGCCCATGTTCAGCAATGGACGTTATTATGGCTGTTATAGTATACTATATCCCACCAAAAACATAAATGTGAAAATTGGTAGCCAAGTTGTTCTACCGAAAAAAGTTTTGATTTGAACATGGTCGCCAAGTTCAGTAAACATTCCTGGAATTAATTTCTTTATAAGGTCGCTTAACATTCTTTAGTAAATTAAAACAAACACCTTAAAATCTAGAGCACCTCACAGTTTGACTGGGCTAGTTTTCACAATTTCCTTATTGTTTAATATCTTGTTTATTATCTACTCTAATCAATATTTGAAGTCCTATTAAAAACTATCCAAGCAAAACTGTGAGGTGCTCTAGATTTTAAGGTGTTTGTTTTATTTTAGTAAAGAATGTTAAGCGACCTTATAAAGAAATTAATTTCAGGAATGTTTACTGAACTTGGCGACCATGTTCATATCAAAACTTTTTTGAACATTGAACTTGGCTACCAATTTTCACATTTATGTTTTTGGTGGGATATCATTACTTTTTGTTAGTGCTAAAGACGATACAAAGACTTTTAAAACATTTGACTTTTCTGCGTTTACGCTGTGTCACGTTATTTTTTGAGTAATTTTCTTGGACTTTTGACACACTTGAACGCATTGCCCATTCATTATCACTAACATTATAGATGTCTCTTGCGCTTTAATTTGGCTTTTAACACCCTGCATACATCCACTTTTGACACCCTGTATAAATCCACTTTATACCCCCTTTATATAGCCACTTTTAACACCCTGTATACATCCACTATTAACACCCTGTATACATCTATGATACTTTTAACACCCTGTATAGATCCATGTTACTTTTAACACACTGTATACATCCACTTTTAACACCCTGTACACATCCATGTTACTTTTAACACACTGTATACATCCACTTTTAACACCCTGTATAGATCCACTTTTAACACCCTGTACACATCCACTTTTAGCACCCTGTATAGATCTACTTTTAACATCCTGTATACATCCACTTTTAACACCCTGTATACATCCATGATACTTTTAACACCCTGTATATATCCACTTTTAACACCCTGTATACATCCATGATACTTTTAACACCCTGTATATATCCACTCTTAACACCCTGTACACATCCACTTTCAACACCCTACATACATTTTTAACACCTTGTATACATCCATGATATTTTAAACACCCTGTATACAGGGTGTTAGGGACGGTGTACCGAAAACTTTGCAGGCATGATCAGACCACAAACTGAACGACTTTTACTATGGAGCCAATGGTGGGAAACGAAAAAAAAATTCCGACCTCCCATACAAAATTCACGATCAGCTGACTGACTTTGTATGAGAGGTCGGAAATATTTTTTCGTTTCCCACCATTGTCTCCATAGTAAAAGTTGTTCAGTTTCATGGTCTGAGCATGCCTGCAAAGTTTTCGTTAGACCGTCACTAACACCCTGTAAATCAACTTATAACACCCTATATACATCTTCTAGAACCAACCTGCTGAGTAGCTCTACTCTACGTTATTATCTACATGGTATAATAAGATACTCCGCCTGGTATTCCGTTCCGAGACACGTGGACCACGTGACCAACACATGTCTACGTCATCATGCTTGTGGGTTACCAGAACTACCCACTCTTATGATGTTTTTTGTAAACCATTTATGATACTCTTAACTAATAAATACAATTGAAGTGTTGTTGTAAAGTTCAAGTTAATACACACGTAAATCTAAATTATAAAATTATTAAGAAATATTTTAGGTCACTTTTCTGAGATTGAATTTACCCCATAACGTATTTTATTGAAATAAAATGGCAATACTAAGTGACGTTGTCTTGTGTTTCTCTGGGAAGGAAAGACCATGTTTTATTAGACTATGATTATCTACAGTTCATCAAAATAAATATTCATTCAAATCTTTCTCGGTCGGTAGTAGTCGGTACTAAAGACCAAAAAACCTTCAAGTTACCTTCAAATCAAGAAAATAAAATCGCATACATTGTATATGGGAGTTTCAGAAGTTTAGCTAGCTGCAAATATACCTCTAAGTTTGTAATCACCCTGTAATCACAAATTCGTTTTTTTGTGATAAAAGTGTAAAATTATAGATTTTTGATTTTTTCCTGAGTATTCACATAGTTATCTATGTGCCGTGTGGTGCCGGCAGAGTAGAATAGCACCACCCCCTCTCTTCCCGTGGGGGTCGTAAGAGGCGACCGAGGGATAAACCCGACCCAAACAGCCAGGACCAACCGTATGGTGGCGGGTAATCCACCACAAAAGCATTCCCAAGGAGGGTTGACGTCTGGTAGGCGGCCGGTCGTAAAATTCAGCCAAATCCTTTTGCAACACGATTTTGTGTTCAACGAAACGTGTTGCGCCGACCCCAAGTAATTGGGATAAGGGCAAGAAGACGATGATATTCACATAGTTATCTAGAGGTGTATGCGAAATATAACTTTTAAAGCACTCGCGATTACTTTCACACATAATATGTTACACATCAGTCATGCTCGCGAGCATGACTGGTGAAACCCAGTCGAAACGTCGAGTTTCCAGGTAAATCGCTTATTTACCTAAAAAACTATCGCGATAAGACCCGTTGTATGCGAAATTTTAAGTCTCTAGGTCATCTAGAAGTGGGTTAGGTGTTTGATCTATAGGTATGTCCGTGAATGATAAAAATGTCGATTTTTGATCGTCAATATTTTCATAACCGTTCAACCTATGTTTATGAAATTTGGTATACTATGTCATCTCGGAGGTCTGAACACGTTTACTTTTGGTGTGCCTATCTTCAATAGATTTAGAGTTATGAGGGGGTAAAAAGTGGCTCTAAATCGTTCGTGTAAATATACACACGGCCCGGTCCGCCAGTTCTTTGCTTGAACTTGGCTGGACACGCTGCCGCGTGTCTTGATATTATAGTAGTATTAAATAACAATAACCCGACTGTGGTAATTACAAAGTTGTATTTTGCTATAAAAATCCGCCATTTTGAATTTATTAATTTTTAATATAGCCAGGGTCACTCGCGCTGCTGAGACGAATCTAACGACACCTCACATGTCAAGAACCACCCAGCCGTTTGGGCTGTAGCCCATGAAAACGAAATTCTGGGTAGATACATAGATACAAACACTCGAGACACATACATAACCCTCCTGAGACAGTCGGGTAAAATTGTCTTTTACCTCGTCATTCCGTATCGGTATGTCTTTATTCATTACTCATTTTGTTTCAAGACGAGACGAGATAGCTACGCTCGTAATAAGATTTATAGTCCCAAAGGGGACTTACACACAACAAGTTGTGTCACTGACGCCCAATTCTTACTCCCGAAGGGGGATTTACTCACAACTGAGGTTTCCAATGTTGTGTCTCTATTAAATAGCTTGTATGGACGACGATTAACACATACCTTCATTGACGAAATTGTGCTGATAAATTATGTATTGACTTAGGATTACCGTTTGACAAAGCGCACTATGGACAGTTGCAATGAACTTTTCCATTGATTTGAATGACAGCCAATGTGGCGCAGTGGGTAGTACGGTACGACTGCCTGCGACGCAGAAGGTTTCCGGGTTCAATTCCCGGCGGGGTCACTCGCAAAGTTGATATTTATCACTTTGTGAATTTGTCACCAGTCTGGTCAGGATATTGCAGGCTGTACCACGTGACTGTCCGTCAAGCATGATGGTTCCGTGCTTCGAAAGGCACGTTATAGCCCGGGGCCCGATTTCCGCTATCTCGTCAAATAACAACTTTTGCGGAAGTTGGCTAGTTCCTACCGACAACTGGTATGTACTTATTCAGCAGGTTCTCCTGAGCACGGAATGTGCGGTAGTCACCTCGTAAGTGGAAGTGGGGGGGAGTTATGACGTAACAAAGATGGCTGCCCGACCAATTCTTTAAAGCGGTATATCTAGACAACTACTGGACCGATTTACATAATTAAGGTGTTAAATGAGAGAGAATACAGTTTTCTATATTTGATTTCATACATTTGTGCATGTAATGCTAACAAAAAAAGAATTACTTAAAAAAATGCGAGATTTTAAAAATTATACTTTTTTTAATTGGCTTATATCTCTGCAACCGCCAGAGTTATCAAAATTTTGACAGTGACAAAATGTTTTGCATTTTTTATTACCTTTCTAACGAACCCCTAATTATTCACATCAGATAAGAAACAACGGAGATAAAGTCGTTTAACTGGCCCGAGTCGACTGTAAAAAAAATATCGAAAATTGACGTAGCTCACGCTGCGGGTCCACGAATCCAAAAAAACAAAAAATATTTGTGTTTTGCCACTTGGGGGTACTTGATATAACTGGTTCACAAAAGAAGGGGACCCGAAATGGCAACATTATTGTTGACATCTTGCTCAAATGTCATGTAATATGAAAAAGACGCAAACAATAATGTTGCCATTTCGGGTCCCCTTCTTTTGTGAACCGGGTTATAATCTCATCTGATAATGACAGGCAGGCGGGTTGGCAAGTGCAATACAGGGTGTTAATTTACTTTTATTTGCTGGTTGGAGGGTAGTGAAGATCTTTATGATGCCATGTCACCACAATGTGGTTTAAGAAATTAAACTAGGCAATTAAGAAACCAAATACCCTTTTTCTTAATTTTACATTCATTTAAATAAAGACAATCGAACAAAACAAACTACTTAATCATCGACAATCATATCACTATGGTTAATCTCGTCTACATAATTAAATTGGTTAAAACATTTGTATCCAAACATGATATAAATTCGAGATCTTTTAATGAAATCAAATGACGATGACCGTTTTTCCTAGAGGCCCGTCTCCCTCCTCCAACCAGGGCAAGATATGGAACACCAGTTTTGGAATGTATCTCAATTTGGAGGTCATGGTTAGTTGTAATTTTTTTACTATGGCGACATTTTTCAAACCCGTTATCAGTTATGTTGGGGCTTAAAACAACAGACTATTTAAAAAACCGTATCAAAATCCGTTGCGTCATTTTTAAGGAGTTTGTGTTTCACTTCTCCAAATTACCGCCGCCTACTTCCCTGCTACTCGTTACCTATTTAATTGGTCTCACTCCGCACATCCACCAAAGCATTCTCATGGATGGGTTGGACTCGGCATTTCAGAACAGGCCTGATTGTATTTTAACACGACGCTGCCCACCAGAATACCTGATGAACTATGAGCAAAGATAATTTCTAGTTAGGTCCCTCGTAACTGGCCGTCCTAGGAAAAGATGGAGAGACGAGTCAAATTCCCACGCCCCAAACTGGATGGAGTGGCTCAAGATATGGAAAACTGGAAGAAGGAGAGGGAGGCCTTAGCCCTGTTGTGGGACAGATCTGGCTCATAATTATAATAATAATAAAAGACTTGAGTTTGTTTCATTACGATATTTTTTATGTAAAATAGGCCCGCATTTGTCTGCTATCACAAATTCTCAAATGTTTAGTGACGACATCTGTGCAGTGACGACACAAAGTAAGTATTGGCTTGCTATACATATTTTGTGGTGACGATGCAAACGAAGTAGGAACGTGAACATAATTCCTATTCACTCCAGCCTTGAAAGGCTTAAGTAGTTTCGAAAACAGATTCGCTGGCAGTGAATTCCACTTCTTAACTGTTCGCAAAATAAAAGTTGAAGCAAATCGCGTCCTTCTATAACCACTCGTATCGACTGTCCGTCCACATAAGAAGTCTGATATTCAGCTGCAAAGATCAACAGGAAGTACATAGGCGGGAAGTTTGCTAATGAGACTTGCGCGCCAGACCCTGTCAAATGCTTTTAAGATATCAAGAAACACATCAAGAGCTTCACTGTGCCTCTCAATAGCCTCGCTCTATTAGTGAGTGGCTTGCACGAGGAGGTCCCTTGTCGATCGGCCTCGGCGGAAGCCGTATTGATGATAACAGAGGAACTCATTGTCTTCAAGGTAATCCAGAATTGGGTTGTTAAGTACACGTTCCATAGTCTTGCAGGGTATGAGTAAACCTTACTTAGCACTAGCTACAACAGAGATACAACTTGCTATGGACATTTATAGCGAGTTACGCCAGCGGGTAAAGAGCCTTGGCATATATATATTCTTTATTGTACACAGAAATTTTACAGAAAACACATACAGAAAAAACATGTACAAAGGCGAGCTTAACTCAAAAAAAACATTGAGTTGTCTTCCAGCTTACCAGCTGATAGGACACTTTGATCTAAATGGCATTGCCAAGCAAACTCGACCTTTTTAAGGTAGAAACACAAACTGTCGTCACACTACTGAAATCCGTCATGGATTAGGTAGATATTTATTCTTCTTCTCAGAAATCGACCATGGGTCAAATTTTCTGTGTTGTACACTTGTATTGTTAGTAGGTATGCCTAAAAAAAGACCCTGTAAAATTCAATCAGGCCTGTTCTGAAATGCCTAAATTTACAGTGACAATTTAATACATTACTTAGTACGTGTTATTGTACTCTGTTTTATAATTTTTGTGCAATAAAGTGTTTTTACTTACTTACTTACACTGCGTCGTCCACAACCAAGAACCGAACTATCCTTACAAGCTTCGCAATGTAAATTGAATTGTCATTCATTGTAAATGACAATTGTCAGCTTTATAAGACGGGTTAATTAGAACTCTCTTAGTGTTCCACTTGAAGAAGAAGATTAACTAATGAAACATACCTTATGTTGATTCCTCCCTTTCCTCGTGAAAACTATCTCTTTCAAGGTAAAGGTTGCCTGGAAGAGATCGCTGCAAGCGATAAGGCCGCCATTGCATACTTCTAGCTCTAAGTTTTCTGTATTGTTGTTTTGAAGTGTATGTAAGCAATAAATTGTTAATATATCTATCTATATAGGGTTACATTTAATTAAGTACAAATCTCTTGAGGGTGCGATCTACTCACAAAACTGAACAACTTTTGTTTGAAACTTTTTTTCGAAATATGAAAAAAAAATTTGGGCCTCCCATACAAAAATGCTGAAAAAGTGTGTCACTTAGTATGGGAGGTCCAATTTTTTTTTTCATATTTCGTAGAAGAGTTTCTTACAAAAGTTGTTCAGTTTTGTGAGGAGATTACACCTTCAAGAGATTTGTCGGTCCCGGCCTCTCCTAGCGGCGCTCTTGTAAGGCGCGGGCATCTTCAAGTGGACAGTCTGGTAGTGCGCCTTCATGCTGTTCGACTGTGTGAACGCCTTGCCGCACTCCGGACACACATAAGGTTTTACACCTGTGTGCACCTGGTGATAGACAATACTTGGTTGGTGTTACAAAATAACTAATAAAAAGAAAGGAGGTCAAGGTACTCATGAAACTTTACAACTTTCCCCATGAAACATGGGTCGAGATATGAATAAAAAATTAGACCTCCCAACTTGGCCCCAATTATTTTTTCCCGTTTTATACCCATGTTCCACGGGGAAAGTGGTTCAGTTTCATGAGCACCTTGTCCTCCTTTCGACTTCATTCGTTGTTTTGTAACACGTTGTATAAGTCTGATTCAAATATAATCCAACTCAACTACACATTTCATCAGAAAAATCGACAAACTACTTTGCGTTTTGTACAGATCGCATTATCTGAGAAATATGTTTATTTAGGAATACATGCCTGATGGTGCCACATACGAAGCGATATTTCGTTGTAGCCATTCGATAGTTCAAAGTCGGTAGATTCAAGAATACTACCATGCCAGGTATAATAAAACGCATTAGTTTTGTCTTTTTCCTTTTTTATTACCAGCATTGAAAATATACGTCAATAAGTTCCTTTGTAGCTGTAGATTTTTTATAATGATTTATTTTACGACTATGATGAAGTAACACTACCACAACACTAACGGATTTATACCTACGTCGGTGGGCACCATAGTGAGTATTACGAGGTTTCTAAATCCTTACGTCAATATTTTAATTTCATAGATTTTATTAAACTATGAAAACGAATATGTTTCGATTTTTGCTGTGAGAAGTATCTATACATATTTCTTTTCGGTCCTTATTTTTTTATTATTATTATTAAGGTTTATTGATACAAGTCTATTTTTTAAAAGTACCCCCTCTTAGTGTATTCTAAATGTCAAACTGAACAACTGTTAAATCTCACCCGATCATGTCGCAGTAAAGCTGCTTGGTTGGTGAATGCTTTCGGACATCGAGGACATCTACACTAATATAATAAAGAGGAAAACTTTGTTTTTTTGTTTGTTTGTTTGTTTGTATGTAATCGATAAACTCCGAAACTACTGGACCGATTTCCAAAATTCTTTCACTATTAGAAAGCTACAACATCCCTGAGTAACATAGGCTACTTTTTACCACGGGAAAATTCCTCATTCCTACGGGAAAACGGTTAGCAGCAGGAAAACGGGGAAATAAAGCAGATATTACCCAAATTAGCCAAACCGCTTTACCGATCCTCGCGAATTTTGGCACTGATATTACTAGCATAGTAAAGATGGACATGGACTACTTTTTGTCAGCCCTTGAGGATCTGGAGTACGAGTACCTGATGAAGACCACCAGCATCCCATCTAAACTATAAAAGATACGGTCATGGCTTCATAGAAAAAGTTGTTCACCATGAGGGGCCGCTTC